GCGCGCGCGCACACACACACACACACACACACATACACACACACACAAACACACACAAACGCAGTAACGTGTACACAAAAATGAAAATGAAATTAGCCACAATGAGAATTGAAAATAATAGTAACGTTCGAACTCTTCACGAGTTTCCTCTTCAGACAAAAAAGAAATGGACACCACACCACACCACACACACACCACACACACACACACACACACACACACACATACATATATATATATATATATATATATATATATATATATATATATATATATGTATGCACACACATACATACCCTTATAACAAATAGCTATACCAACAGCAATCACAGACCCAGACCTTCCCAACGCATCGGAAACCAAGCTCCCCTCGCCCAATCCCGCTCGCAACCGCTTACCTGGTTCCTCTTGTATTCGCGCACCGACATGTCGTACAGCTGAGCGTTCTGGATCCCGATGCCGCAGAAGGTCAGGTAACGCCGGAACACCTGTCGGCCGGGAATTAATTATGAGAGATTAATGGACGCTTATCATAATCCATTTCGTTTGGATTGGTCGATTCGGTGTGTTATTTTTCTTCTTTTTTTCGTGTGTTCGTTTCCATCGTGGTGTTGTCAATTAGTATCGCTTTTATTGTCATTACTGTTAATATCATTATTGCTACCGTTATTATTCTAATCATTACTATTATTGTTATCGTTATTATTACTATTATTGTTACTATTATTGCCATTACTGTTATTATTACTATTATCATTATCGTTATCATTATCCTTATTATCATCATCAACCTTTTACCTTCCTATCATTATAATGATAATAATAACAGTGATGATAATAATAATAGTAATAATAATAATAATCTCCATTATCATCATCATCATTATGATAATAATTATTATCATTATCCTTATCATTATTATCATCACTATCATTGTTATCATTGTTCTTGTTATATTATTATTACTATCATTATAATTCTAATTATCATCATTATCTTTATTATCATCATTACCATTATTATTATCATTATTATTGTTATTACTGTCATCGTTATTATTCCTGTTATTACTGTAATTCTATATTCATTATAAGTATTACCTCCTTCACCATCCTCACCATCACCACCACTATCTTCACTCTTACCATCATCCTCACCATATTCCATTCCCATCCCCACCTTCCTCACTATCACCCTCATCACCATACCTCACCATCACCACCATCATCCCTCACCATCCTAATCACCATACCTCACTTTCCTCCCCCTCCCATCACCCTCACTCTAGTCACCATACCTCCCATCGACCCCCTCGTACCTCACCATCCCCATCACCATACCTCACTCTCCTCATCCCATCACCATCCCTACTCACCATCACCATACTCCCCTCCCCCTACCTACCTCACCTATCACCATCACTCATCCCCTCCTCACCTCCCCCTCCCCACTTACCTCACCTCCCCCTCCCCTCCCCCTCCCCCCTCCCCCTACCTCACCTCCCCCTCCCCCTCCCCCTACCTCACCTCCCCCTCACCTCCCCATCACCATACCTCCCCCTCCCCTCCCCCTCCCCCTCCCCCTCCCCTACCTCCCCTCCCCCTCCCCCTCCCCTCCCCCTACCTCCACATCCTGCGGCGTGAACTCATTGGTGCCATTCTTCTTGTTGATGATCTCTGCAACGCCGATGACCTCGCCCTCGTAGTTGCAGACGGGCATGCACAGGACGCTCATGGTGCGGTAGCCGGTCTTGCGGTCGATGCTGGCGTCGAATCTCGGGTCCTGCGGGAGAGAGAGAGAGAGGTTGAGAGGTTGAGTGGTTGAGGTGGTGGGGCGAGAGAGAGAGCAGGACGGGGTGAAGCGTGCAGGGGGGGGAAAGGTTGTGAGTGAGTGGGAGAGTGGTTGAAGTGGAGAGGGAGAGAGAGAGGGGGAGGGGGGTGGGTCATGAGGGGGGAAAGGTTGAGAGGTTGAGTGGGTGAGGTGGAGAGAGAAGAGGGGGGGTGTCCTGGGGAAATGGGAGAATGGTTGAGAAGTGAGTGGCTGAGGTGGGGAGAGAGAGAGGGGAGGGGGGTCATGAGGGGGGGAAGGTTGAGAGGTGAGTGGGGGAGGGAGGAGTGGGGGGGTACTGGGGTTATAAGGAGGAGGAAGGGGGGGGAGAGAGGAAGGTGAGAGTTGAGGTGGGAGGGGGAGAGGTGGGGGTGTCCTAGGGATGGGGGAGAAAGGTTGAGAGGTTCAGTGGTTAAGTTGGGAGGAGGGGGGGGTCCTACGGCGGGAGGGAGGGGGAAAGGGAGGAGGAGGGGGAAGAGTTTGAAGTGGTTTATGAGGAGGAGGGAGGGGGGGAGGATCCTGTGGGAGGAGGGAAAGGTTGATAGGCAGGAGGAGAGGGAGGGGTGGGAGATTATCTTCAGTGAAGAGGGAGGAGAGAAGGGGGCGATGTCCTGGGAGGAGAAGGGAAAGGGGTGAATGGACAGAGGAGAGTGGGCAGGAGAAAGGTAAAAGGGGAAAGGTGAATAATTGCTTTATGGGGTGGGCGTGAGTGAGGAGAGAGAGAGGGTAGAGGGGAGAGGTTGTGTTGGGAGGGGAGGTAGAGGAGGTAGAGAATGCGTGGCTGAATGGGGAGGGGAGGAGATATAGGTTGAGAGGTAAAGTGGGAGAGGGGAGAAGAGATGAATGGAGGGATGAGTAAGGTTCGAGGGGAGGAGGATGGGTAGAAAGGACCTAAGGGGTAGTAGAGGGAGAGAGGGGAGAGAGGGGGATAGGGAGAGAGGCGGAGAGGGGAGAGGGGGAGGGAGAGAGAGAGAGAGGAGAGAGGGGAGAGAGGAAGATGGGAAAGTTGAAAGGGGGAGAGGGAGAGAGGGGATGAGAGGGGAGAGGGGATGAGAGGCGGGGTTGAAGGGGAGAGAGAGGCTAAGTGGTTGAATGGGGGAGGTATAGGGGCAGAGAGAGAGAATGAAGAGGAGAGACAGAGAGAATGAAAAAGGAAGAGACAGAGAGAAAAAAGAGAGAAGAGAGAAGAGAGATAGAACTGGTGAAAGAGAGACAGAAGTTGATGGATGGGCGTGGGGGGTGGGGTGGGGTTAGGGAAAGGGGGACGGAGATTGAGTGTGGGGAGGTTAAGCAGAAAGATGAGGGGGGCCTGGTGGGGCAGGGAGAAATTGGGAGCGTTGAGTGAAGGAGGTAGAATGAGAGAATGTGAAGAAGGAGAAAAGTTGTAGAGGGAGAAAAGTGAGTGAGAGAGAGAGAGGAGAGAGAGAGAGAGAGAGAGAGAGAGAGAGAGAGAGAGAGAGAGAAGAAGAGAGAGAGAGAGAGAGAGAGAGAGAGAGAGAGAGATAGAGAGAGAGGAAAGTGAGTGAGTGAGTGAGTGAGGAGCTGAGTGAGTGAGTGAGTGAGAGAGTGAGTGAGTGAGAGTGAGTGAGTGAGTGAGAGTGAGAGTGAGAGAGAGAGAGAGAGAGAGAGAGAGAGAGAGAGAGAGAGAGAAGAGAGAGAGAGAGAGAGAGAGAGAGAGAGAGGAGGGCGAGTGAAATGAGAGGTGGATGATGATGATGATGATGATGATGATGAAAGGAGGATGAGAAGGAGGAGGAGGAAGGGAAAAGGAAAAGAGAAAGAGAAGGAGGAGAGAGAGGAGATGAAGGAGGATGAGAGAGGAGACGAAGACGACGACGACGACGAGGAGAGAAGAGAAGAAAAGGAGGAGGAGGAGGAGGAGAAAGAGGATAAGGAAGAGAAGGAAGAGGAGGAGGGGGAGGTTGTGGGTACTTCCTCATGAATGAGGTGGCACGAGTGCTTAATGAGGTCCAATGATAATCATAAAAAGAGAAGAAAGAAAGGAAAAAAAAACATGGCCCTAGTTATCAGGGCCCCAAGTAGGGGAAGAGGAAAAGGGGGAGAAGCCCTTTTTGTCAACGTCTCATGAGGTGGAACTAATGAAGAGGAAGGGGAGGGGGAGGGGGAAAGGGGGGGTCAGATGATCGGGGGTTGGGGTAGAAATGAAGAACGATTAAAGTGAGGAGGAGGAAGGGGGGAAGGGTGACTGTGAGGGGTGGGGGTGGGGGGTTGTAAAAAATAAGAAAATAATGAACGAGGGGAATCTTGGGAAAAGGAAGGGGAAGAGAAGGGGAAAAGAGGGCAAGTTGAAGGGTTAAGAGATGGTAAAAGTGGGGGATAAATGAGGAAGAGAAAAGAGAAGAGAGAGTAAAGAAAAAAAGGGAAGAGGAGGTGGAAGAGATGAGAGGTAAAGGGAGGAGAAGAAAGAAAATGGGGAAGAGAAAGGAAGGACGAAAAAAGTAGTAGAGGGAGAAATGGAAAATAAAAGGAAAAGAAAGAAGCAAAGGAAAAGGAAAAAGAAGGGAACGAAGAGAGAGAGAAAAAAATAAATGGGAGAACAAAATAAAAAAGGAATAAGGAAATAGAAGAAAGCAAAGGAAATAAGGACAATGGAAGAATGTGCAGTTAATGAAAACACGAATGTCAACTTATTGTATACATTCGACCACTAAGTTGTTAGTGTAGGAGTAGTAGTAACATTAGAAATAATAGTATGTCTTATCATCAGTACTAAATCATTATCATTACCAATAGTAGTAGTATCAGTAGTATTAGAATTAGTAGTAGTAGTCGTAGTAGTTGTAGTAGGAGTAATAGTATCAATAGCAATAATAGTGGCAGTAGTAGTAGTAGAAGTAGTAATAGTTGTATAACTAGTAGTAGTACCATTAGTAGAAGTAGTAGTAGTAGCATTATTATCATCATAATCATTAGTAGTAATAGTAATAGTATTAGCGTTAGCATTAGTTGTTATTGTTACTGTTGTTGTTGTAGTTGTTGTTATTGTTACTGTTGTTGTTGTAGTTGCTGTTATTGTTACCGTTGTTGTTGTTCTTACTGCTGCTGCACCCTACATATTTTTAAAAGGATAGATTTTGCTAAATGATATCAGATAGCCAAAACAATAATGCGTCCATTATGCATATGTCCGAAAGCATTATTTCAAAATATTATGTTGCGGTGCAGCAAGCCAGTAAGAAACAACAGACAACGGGTCGTAACTAATAACCAGCAACTAGCAACAACAGTAACAATAACAGCAACTTACAACAACAACCCAGGTAACAGATAGCCAACTAATGCTAACCGCTAATACCTTTTACTATTACTACTAATGATTATGATGATAATAATGCTACTTACTACTAACTTCTACTAATGGTACTACTACTTGTTATACAACTATTACTACTTCTACTACTACTACTGCCACTATTATTGCTATTGATACTATTACTCCTACTACAACTACTACGACTACTACTACTACTACTACTAATTCTAATACTACTGATACTACTACTATTGGTAATGATAATGATTTAGTACTGATGATAAGACATACTATTATTTCTAATGTTACTACTACTCCTACACTAACAACTTAGTGGTCGAATGTACACAATAAGTTGACATTCGTGTTTTTCATTAAAACTGCACATTCTTCCATTGTCCTTATTTCCTTTGCTTTCTTCTATTCTTTATTCCTTTTTTATTTTGTTCTCCCATTTTATTTTTTCTCTCTCTCTCTTCGTTCCCTTCTTTTTCCTTTCCTTTGCTTCCTTTCTTTTCCTTTTATTTTCCATATCTCCCTCTACTCGCTTTTTTCGTCCGTTCCTCTCTCTTCCCATTTTCTTCTTCCCTCTTCTCCCTTTACCTCTCAACTCTTCCACCTCCTTCCCTTTTTTCTTTTACTCTCTCTTCTCTTTTTCTCTTCCTCATTTATCCCCCACTTTTACCATCTCTTAACCCTTCAACTTGCCCTCTTTTCCCCTTCTCTTCCCCTTCCTTTTCCCAAGATTCCCCTCGTTCATTATTATTCTTCTAAATTTTTTTTACAACCCCCACCCCACCCTCCCACAGTCACCCTTCCCCCCTTCCTCCTCCTCACTTTCGTTCTTCTTATTCTACCCCAACCCCCCCGATCATCTGACCCCCCCCTTTTCCCCTCCCCCTCTCCCCTTCCCTCTTCATTAGTTCCACCTCATGAGACGTTGACAAAAAGGGCTCATATTTCCCCCTTTTCCTCTTCCCCTACTTGGGGCCTGATAACTAGGGCCATGTTTTTTTTTTCTTTCTTTCTTTCTTTTTATGATTATCATTGCGACCTCATTAAGCACTCGTGCCACCTCATTCATGAGGAAGTACCCCACAAACCTCCCCTCCTCCTCTTCCTCTCTCTTCCTTATCCTCTTTCTCCTCCTCCTCCTCCTCCTTCTTTCTCTTTCTTCTCCTCGTCGTCGTCGTCGTCTCGTCTTCCTCCTCATCCTCCTTTTCCATCCTCCTCTCTTCCCTCCCCTTCTCTTTCTCTTTTTTCCTTTCCCTCCTTCCTCCTCCTCCTTCTCACCTCCTTCATCATCCTCATCATCATCATCTCATCATCATCACCTCTCATTTCACTTGCCCCTCCTCTCTCTCTCTCTCTCTCTTCTCTCTCTTCTCTCTTCTCTCTCTCTCTCTCTCTCTCTCTCTCTCTCTCTCTCTCACTCACTCACTCACTCACTCACTCACACTCACTCACTACTCACTCACTCACTCACTCACTCACTCACTCACTCACTCACTCACTCACTCACTCTTTCTCTCTCTATCTCTATCTATCTGTCTCTCTCTCTCTCTCTCTCTCTCTCTCTCTCTCTCTCTCTCTCTCTCTCTCTCTCTCTCTCTCTCTCTCTCTCTCTCTCTCTCTCTCTCTCTCACTCACTCACTTTTCTCCCTCTACAACTTTTCTCCTTCTCACATTCTCTCATTCTACCTCCACCACTCAACCTCCCAATTTCTCCCTGCCTCCCACCAGGCCCCCCTCATCTTTCTGCTTTAACCTCCCACACTCAATCTCCGTCCCCCTTTCCCTAACCCCCACCCCACCCCCCACCATCCATCAACTTCTGTCTCTCTTTCACCAGTTCTATCTCTCTTTCTCTCTGTCTCTCCCTTTTCATTCTCTCTGTCTCTCCCTTTCATTCTCTCTGTCTCTCCCTCATTTCTATCTCTCCCTCTGCCCCTATACCTCCCCCCCATTCAACCACTAGCTCTCTTCTCCCCCCACCCCCTCTCATTCCCCTCCCCGTCTCCTCTCCCCTCTCTCCCCTCTCCCCTTCACTTTCCCCATCTTTCCTTCTCTCCCTCTCTCCCCTCTCTCTCTTCTTTCCTCTCCCCTCTCCCCTCTCTCCCCTCCTCCTCCCCTCCTCTCCCCTCTCTCCCCTCTACCTACCCCCTTAGGTCCTTTCTACCCCCACTCCTCCTCCACTCAACCTTACTCATCCCCTCCATTCATCTCTTCTCCCCTCTCCCACTTTACCTCTCAACCTATATCTCCTCCCCTCCCCATTCAGCCACGCATTCTCTACCTCCTCTACCTCCCCTCCCCAACACAACCTCTCCCCTCTACCTCTCTCTCTCCCTCACTCACCCGCCCACCCCCCATAAAGCAATTATTCACCTTTCCCCTTTTACCTTTCTCCTGCCCACTCTCCCTCTGTCCATTCAACCCCTTTCCCCTTCTCCTCCCCAGGACATCGCCCCCCTTCTCTCCTCCCTCTTCACTGAAGATAATCTCCCACCCCCTCCTCTCCCTCCCTCCTCCTCAACCTTTCCTCCTCCACAGGATCCCCCCCCCCTCCCTCCTCCTCATAAAACCACTTCAAACTCTTTCCCTCCTCCCTTCCCCCTCCCTCCCCCGTAGACCCCCCCCCTCCCTCCCAACTTAACCACTGAACCTCTCAACCTTCCTCCCCATCCCAGGACCCCCCCACCTCTCTCCCTCCCACCTCAACCTCTCAACCTTCCTCTCTTCCCCCCCCCTTCCCTCCTCCTCATAAACCCCAGTACCCCCCCACTCCTCCCTCCCCACTCAACCTTCTCAACCTTCCCCCCTCATGACCCCCCTCCCCTCTCTCTCTCCACCTCACCACTCAAACTTCTCAACCTTTCTCCCCATTCCCAGACACCCCCCCCTCTCTCTCTCTCCACCTCACCCACTCAACCTCTCAA